CGCGGGGCGCTCCCGGGCACCGTCCGTCCCGCCCGTTGCCCACCCGAACGCCGGGAGCTCACGGGGAGGGACGGGCTCCGCGCGGAGCAGGAGGGAAGGGGTCGCCCGAACACAAACACGAGCGGGCGCCACAAAGCGGGACAGCGCGCAGCTTCTAGACTTTTTCCTAGGCACTTTTTTTTTTTTTTTTTTCCCTTCCAGGAAGTAAGGCACAAACTGCAGCCAGGGCCAGGGTTAACTAAACAGTCTTTTTTTCCCCTCCTTCTTTTTTTTTTTTTTTCCTCCTAGTGCATTCCTAATTCTGAGCTTCCCTGGATCCCAGCAAGGCCCGTAGTGCAGGGGACAACCACTCCCGAAGGTGGCTTCGCTCTGCAGTCCAGGATTTTGCCTCGCTCGGTAATTTAGGGTGAGATGACGGGTCTCAGGGGGACACAGCTGTTGGAGAGCAGTGTGTCAGATCCCCACCGCTGCTCTCAGCCTGCTGCAACACCACAGCCGCCCAGAGCAGCACACGGGGCTCACGTGCTACACGAGTTTCCTAGGGAGTTCTGTCTTCCTGGTGATGCAAAAAAGAAAACAGCTTTTCAAACGGCAAAATCGCAAAGAACACACAACGACGCTCGATCCCGATAGGCTTCTGTGTGCTTCCCCAGCCCTTCCTCCTGGGTCTTTGGGCCTCTGCCCGCACTCATCATGGCGCCCTGGCCGCCCTCTCGTGACGTCACGCCCCACGCCCGGCCGCGTTTTTCCTCTCGCGGCCGCCATGGCTTTTCCCACGGCTGCGCGCTTTGCGACCCGGAAGCGGAAGTCCGCGGAGGCCTTAGCGGTGCCGTTACCCGTCTTCCAGAGTAGCCGCCGCGACTTCACCTTCGGGCCCTGGAAGCTGAGCGCCGCTCGCACGCACATCATGAAGTCGGCGCAGGCCGAGAGGTGAGGAGGGACCGGACCGGATCGAGGCGGCGCAATGTGAGCGGTTCTCCTGCGGCGGGAGAACGTCTCTAGCTCCCAGCAGCTCCTTCTTTTTGCCCTTCCTCCTTTTGCGAGTGTGGCTTTGGTTGGGGAAGGGGGGAAGGGTCATTCAATTTACAAATGTGGCGGCTTTTGGTTCTGTTTTTTTTTTTTTTTTTCCTTTTGTTTTTTTTAATAACTGCTAACGTTTTTCTGTTGGAAATGTGGGCTTCTGTGGTCCTACAAGCTTGTTTTACTTCTCTTTTTATGAATAATTAAGGACTTCATAAGTTGTAGCTTATTGATTCCTATAAGCTGTCCAATGCTAATGGCTCTTTTAAGGTAGTGGGTTTTGTTAAGAATGCAGTAACTGTCCTTTCATTGTAATGGTTGTTTCCACTGCTGTAAAAAAACAGTTGGGAAAATGCATCTGTCAGCATCAGGTACTTGAAGTCAGGTTTGCTACTGTAGCTCTGGACAGCTCAGCTGTTTAGAGCCATGGCTATGCTTACAGGCAGATGAATTGGTCAGGTCTTTCTTTGTGTTTTTGTAGCAAGCAGGTGAGAATTTTAGTAGTCATCCTATATATGTTTAGGTTTGTTTTGCTTGTAACTTCTCTGAGAGTAAGCCTATTTACTAAACTCTCATCTGTTGAAGTTTTATGCCTTTTTTTCTTGTTTTATGTAAAGGAAAAAATGTATATATACACACATGCTTAGTTTTCTGGTTTAGGTGGATGCCATTCATTTTTTCATTTTATGCTGTAGTCAGTGGATAAAATAATCATGCATTGAATGACTTCAACTAATGATGCTGTGGTTCTTGCAGTTACATAAAAAAAATAATGTTTTAGTGGTCATTCTATAAAGAGGACAAGACATGCAGTTCAACTTTATCTGGGCTGCACTATATTCCATTTTTCATTTGTGTGTTATATCCCATTTGTGGTTGTGAAGACTTCTCTTGCAAGATACTGGGTCAGAAAGATGAAGATCTGTATTCTTATAGTCGGGAGGGTGTTAACTTTTCGTCGTGTGTGACCTGGAGCTAGAGCTGAACTGTCATCCAGAAGCCAGGTTATCTACTGTGCCTCTCTTCTAAATTTTTCAGTTTCTTAAACTGTAGCTGCTTTATAATAAACACTTGTGTTGGTGATCTTACTTTTTTCTTTCCTGCAGAAATTTTATTCATCCTTCTCCATGTTTTTCAAGACTGAAAGAACAGAAAAGATTTTGCAGGGTAGGGAAGACCAAAATTAGCAGCTTTCAAGCCCCTCTTGGCATGAGAGTGCAAAAAATAAACCATTCCTCTACCTCAAATATGAAGAGTCACTCCCCAGTTGCAGTGCTGTTAGTCGGTTTCATTTTATAATGCATTTCTTTTGACATTTTGCCTTGTTTTTTATTACTTGGATAACATAGTTATTACCTGCAGGACTTTTATTTCTAGCAAACATGCCACAAAAAACCCTGAGCAGCTTGTGAAGAAGGTGAGCGATTAAATATGCCATAGGGGCAGAACTCTCTATCAGGCTAGAGTTGTTTTTTGCTGAACGAGGGGCTGCACTACATGAAATGGGTAGCTTAAAATTTTCTGCTGCCTCCTCTAGGAAAACATAGAATCTTATTCATCAGGTCTATGAATCTGCTATTTTTACTTCAAATTGATCAGTGTAATGTTCTTTTGTATGCATTGCTAGTAAAATAACACTTTTATGCAGAAACATCTTACTATTTATCAATAGCAAAGTTGTGAGCTGCAATTTTTTAATCCTTTTGTTTAAATGTATTTCCTAAAGTTTTCTTCCCTTCACAGTTCTTGTTCTTTTTAAGCTAAAGCAGGTAGGTAGAGATGGGGAGGAAATGCATGAAGCCTTGTGGTGAATGCATTCAGTGAAGATATGAAGTGGGGTATGTGTGTGTAAGCACAAAATCTGTGGCTTGTGTGCTTAGAGGTTGCCAATGCACATTACTGTGCTCAAATCACTACCTTCCTAGGTTCAGAGAGAGTTATCTCCTGTGCTTCACCTCTAAGGTAGTCTGCTTGGGTTGTTTTCATCCTCTTCTTGTAGGCTTCTAAGGATGGAAGTATGGACCGCTGTGGAGTGATTTAAACTTGCTGGGGATAAGTGCTCTTTCTTTAAACAATTACTGAAGAACCTGCAAATGTAGCTCATGGACCATCCAGGGTTTTCTCTGCTGTCTGAAAGATGATAAAATTATGCTTCTTGGATACTTTTATTTTCCCACATATGAGACTTCTGTACAGGACTGAAGAGAGAAAGATGTAGCAATACTTTTACATTGGAAAAGGCACTTCTGATCAATGATTCTGCAATTCATGACACTTTTAAATAGGGGAAAATAACAAAGTTTTGTAAAAATGTATTGATGATATTGCTTCCAAGTGATTGTGGTCCAAGTAATACTTCCTTATTTGAAGACGCAGGCTGTTTTTATGTGGCTGGTACAATCACAAAGTGCCTCTTCATCTAAGCTTTTTCTCCCTCTGTGCAGGTTGGCTGACGAATTGCACATGCCTTCCCTGCCAGAAATGATGTTTGGAGACAATATCCTAAGAATACAACATGACCATGGTTTTGGAATTGAGTTCAATGCAACAGATGCTTTAAAATGTGTCAATAATTGCCAAGGTATGATCAAAGTGGCTTGTGCAGAGGAGTGGCAAGAGAGCAGGTACAGTATTTTATAATCAGTGGGCAAGTAATAATGTTTTATAGGGGAAGCTGGGATAAAGCAGTTAAAGGTACAGGCTGAGAACTAGAAATCTTGAATACCATGCTGCATTTCTTCCTACTGTGCATGTACCATGAGATTATAAAAGTAAACTAATTTGTTTGTTTTTGGCCATAATCATCCTATTTGCTGAACTTTATATATTTTAAGCTATATTGAGACTTTCTTAAAATAAATGGCACTTAACATGGCTTAATGCTGTTCCTATTCAAAATCATAGGGCCCTAAGCATTGCAAGACTGTCTTTTGATATTCAAAGTGCAGAATGCTGCACACATTCAAGAGTAATAATTATGCATAAAAACTAATTGTACTGCTTAGTACATAGCAAATTAGTGGGAGAGCACCCATGAATAAATCATGAAGAAAAATCAAAGTACTAAAATTCATGTGAAGTGCAGTGATAACAACAGCTGAGTGTTGTCTGCACGTTGCTTTCTGTCTCTTAAAGAAAAAAGATCTTGAGCTATAGAATTTTCAAAAACATTGAATGAAAATCTTTATTTTAACTGATGAGACTAAGTTAGGGCTTTCATGGGAATTCTGATAATGGTTTCATAATTTGCTGCATGACATAGATGTTGTGAAAGAAGTAACACTGTAGTTCAGTCTTGACATAATTCTAGCATGGGGGATGTTTAACTTTCTGAAAAATGAAGGCCTGAGTCTTATGTGAGGTTGTAATTTCTTCAAAGAATTATGACAAAGCGGGCTAAGTTCTTTTTCCTTTGTTAAGGAGTGAAACTGAGCACACTAAGGAAGTTGTCAAACCATATGATTGGACTTATACAACAGACTACAAAGGAACATTGCTGGGAGATACTGTAACATTAAAGGTGACTTATTTTCTCCTTAAATGTTTATTACATAGTGTTTCAGTCGAGCACTTTTTAAACTATGGTCTCCCTTTCAGAAAGTATGGTTCACAGAACTGAAAAGTTTCTGACTTCAAAGTATATTTTAGACTATTCATGTCTCAGCTTTTAATTTTTTTATTGAATTATACCCCATGTTAAATTTTTAAGCATCTTATGATTATATAAAAGGTTCTCAAATGTCCCTGTTTAAGAACTTCTTCAAAGAAGTAAAGCACAGAAGAATCTTCAGTGCTTCCTGAATCCCTCTTTGAAGTCCTGAGCTCCTCAGATGCAACCAAACTGTTTCAACTGTGTAGTTCTCTGGTGCCTTTACTCTGTGTTTCTTGCTCTGGGCTTTGCGATCAGGTACCCAGGTCTGCCTGCTTTCAGTGGCTTTGTTTTTTGAAACAATAATTCATATTTAAATTGTGGCAGATCCTCCCTTGTCTTTATTTACTTAAAGAAAAATTGATGTTCCAAATTTCTATTTGCTGTTGCTAAGCAGTATATTAATTCACTAGGATTGGTTTAGTTATAGATCACTTAAGTTATATCAGAATTAAAAGTATAGGATAAAACTACCAGCTTGTGTACTCATAGTCTTTAGGCAGTAGAAGTGTATGGATTTGTATAGAAAGGACAAGATGGAAAATATACTAATATTTCCTTTTTAAAGAAAGACTTTTTACAGAACTGTTTAGGGCCTGTAGTTTGCTAGGAATTAAATAGTGTGGAATACTACTAATAACGTAGAACTTTCCAATCATACTTTAAACTTGGAATTCTTCTAATGTTTTTAAGTGCAGAATGCAGGCAGAATTGTTGCAACTACAACCTTACCAAGCCTGTTTCCTGTAGGTGATTTTATTTAGAATTTTCCGTTTTTGATTTTTGCTTTGGTTGACATTTCCTCTAAAAAAATTTTGGTATTAACTTTATCTTTTCCTCTTCTATATGTCTTTAGCCAAGCATTCTAAAGTGTTTCCCTTTAGAAATCTATCAAGTGTAGGATTTTCAAGATAAAGAGAAGTTTTACATATCTTAACATTTATGCAATCAAGGTGTTAAAGAGTTCTTAATCTTGTTTTTCAGGTTGTACCTACAACAGAACACATAAACACAGAGAAATTGAAAGCCAGGGAGCAAATTATGTTTTTTGAGGAAGTCCTTCTGTTTGAAGATGAACTTCATGATCATGGAGTATCTAGTTTGAGTGTAAAAATAGTGAGTACTGAGGGGTGTGTACAAGAGGCTTCTGGTTAATGCATGTAAAATGTAGCTCTCTTTGCCTTCTGGGATATAAAGTTGAAAATGTGAATGTGATGTGGGGGTGTGGTGGGTTTTTTTGTTTGTTTGTTTTGGTTGGTTGGTTTTGGTATAGTCTTCATAGTTTTACAGATATAATCTTATTGAAAGCTATGATATACTATTCTTGTTTTATCAGTTGCTTCAATATTTGGACCTAAAAAGTGCATACCTGAAGGAAGAACTTCGTAATATTCTGAAATGAATATCTTTATTTTTGCAGAGAGTTATGCCTTCCAGCTTTTTTGTGTTATTGAGGTTTTTCTTGCGAGTTGATGGCGTGCTTATCAGGATGAATGATACAAGGCTTCACCATGAGGTGAGCATTTATTCTTTATATCGTTTGCATTTTACAGATGGTTCCTTTAAGTATTGCTTTCAGAGAGGACCTGCTGATATTCCTGCAACATAATACTGATGTTTTGAGGAGTAGATGTTACTGAACTGGACTTTCAGTTGTCTTTTATAAGCTCCTGGGTTCCAAGTGTATCTTCTTGACTTGTCTACCATGTGGCTACAAGTTCTACTCTGCAAATAACTGTCCATACAACACTGAGTCCAGGCATCTTGTAAACAATATAGAATATATAGTTGTGATTTGCCTGTTCTGTTTAGCTCTACTAATACTGATTATAGGAGTTTCAGTTGAATTAAAATTAGCAGATATATTTAATCATAGCTCTCTTGTGAACAGAGAAGGGACTTTAGGGAAGGACCCAATTTTGCTAAACCTTCTTCCATTCCTTTCTCTTGTCACTGAATGCGTATCTCTTCTCCCAGGTGAGAATCTTTGATCAAACAAATTGTAATGATTACTAAATTCAGTGCATTTACAGAGCTCATCTTTCACTGATAATAAATTATAATTTTATAATCAATTTTTGCATTTTTTTCCCATTAGGCTGACAAGGCCTACATGTTACGAGAATATACATCCAGAGAAAGCAAAATATCAAGTTTAAAGGTATTTTAAAAGTATTTTTTCTTTTTTTTGTTTGGTTTTATTATCAGCGTGGAAAATACTGTATTTGTAAATCTTTCCCTGTTAAGTTTTGAATCTTTGGAGAGGAAAACTTCCTCTACTTGTGCAGGGCTTATTTCAGGGTAGATGGTCATTTCTAAATCATCAACTCCAAAAATCACGTGACAGAATCGGGACTAGATTTACTATTTCTGCTTTTGCATTATCAGACTTCCAAACAGAACTGTTCAGACATAAAAGCAGGTGTGCCATTTTCAATGTTCATTAGTTTCAGGGCTGCTTATGTGCCTCCCAGTAGCATTTGTGGTTAAGACTGACTGACATTTTTTTCCTGGTGCAAGTGTAATACCTCACCTTAAAATTCTGATAATGGTTCAATATCTTTTGTGGCACCTTAAGAGTTGCAATTGTTGAATTTTATTCACTATGACCATGGATATTCTGCTTATTTTCCTTCTCCCTTGTTTTTTTTTCATCTCTTAAAAAGTGACCAATATTTTAATAGACTTCCAAGGGTATATTTGCAAAATGGTTATATTTTCAAAACATATGTTATATCATTCCTTAATAATATGATCCCATAAAAAGCATTAACTCCACTTATAAGCCTTTTGATACTTTTCTGAAATACAAGTTAAAGTGGCATAGGTCATCTTTTATCTCATGCTTCAAAATGATCCTCTGTGTGGCTGAATAATTTTTCTGTATCTCCTAATGGAGAAGAAATATGTTGCATTTTTTTCCCCATATAACTCCCTAAATCGGCTTGCAGAAGTTGGGGGGGGAAGAGAGATTTCTGCTTTGCTTAGATTTGCAGTAATTGGAACAGTAGTGTGATTCCTTGCATATCAGGAGTAGACAAACATATAGGTTACATTTTTACTTACTTTGGACACACTTCTGTAGTATAGAAAGTCTTTATTCTGGGCTCAAACTTTCAAACTTTCTAGCTTTCTTTTTCAGATATTTTGTATATGGTGTAGCTATGCCATCTACAGGAATGTACAGCGAAAGATACAGATTATTTGGTTTTATAAGTGACTCAAATATGAAATTGCAATCAGTAATTCATATTAATGTCTAAACAATGGTAGTCTTGGACATAGTAAAACCGAGATCTGTGCTGAGAAAAGCATGAAAATTTATAGCTGAATCTGAGCACCTCCACCAAGTCTGCTGCAATCACTAGAAGGCATTAACCATGGGATCTCATGAGGCTTTTGTCTCATCTCGAATAAATCATAAAAAGGACTTCTAGCTACACTGAAATTATAAATATAATTTAAAACATTGCAGCTCCTCTTGAATTCTCTGGTGGTTCATGTGCCCTTGTCTGCTATGTAAAAATACTAAATACATTTCCTAGCTTATTGATCACGCAAGAAAGAACTATTGTATGTGTGTACATTTAATGTCATAAAGTAAATTTTATATCTGGCTTCAAGTGTTCAAAACTAAGATGAGATATAGGTTAGATGTGCCCCAAAACTCTGCTTGTTAAATTCATCTTTATTACATTTTTCATTTGTTTCATGTAAAACTTTTGCTTCTTAGCATGTTCCACCTTCCCTGTTCACGGAACCTAACGAGATCTCTCAGTATCTGCCCATAAAGGAGACAATTTGTGAAAAGCTAGAATTCCCGGAGAAGTTGGAGCCTGAACCACAAGCATCACTGGAAAGCACATGTTTGGAGTCTAAATAAATAAAGACTTTATATGGACTTGAAGTAGACGGAAGATCATGTGCCCATTACCCTTGTGGGGAGTGGTTTCACTGTTTGTGGAATAAAGAGTTTGGCTAATTTTTCTGTAGCCCTAAATGAAAACAGAACTTATTTCAAGCAGGTTTTGATTTTGTTGTTGTTGTTGTTCCATCTTCTCTTATTTCAAACCTGTGTCTGGAGTTAATGATAAGACTGTAATTCACCACCAGTCTAAATGGCAATGGAGAAAGACTCTTGGTAGGAGTATTGCCTGCACCTCTGCCACAAACACTCCCCAAAAGTTGTTCCTGCTTCAGATACCAAGACACTACTACAGTTCATAAAACAGTTCTTTCTGCATATATTTGGGGCTTTTGGTCCTAAACTGTGAATTTTGCTTGTCCCCTGTCCTGTTCTGCAGATGGATAACTAATTAGAAACTCTGATCTGGTCTTCTTACTTAGCAGTATTAGTTTTATCCAAGAATAGCTGTAAGATGCAAAAGTAGTTGTATTCCTTTGACCCTATATAAAGGTTAAAAAATACTTGGAGAGCCTTCAACTCCAGAACAGTGAAAAAGGTGCTGCATGTTCGTCCTATTTCTCCAGGAAACCCTCGCTGGGGGTAGGTGAGCTGCCAAGGTCGTGTGCTATCCTGGAAATGCCTTCTTCTCTATTGACCTTCTCTTGGGCATATCAGCTAGTGCCTGTGTGTGATGGTTATGCAGCTCATGCTGATACTGTAAATTGCAGCTGGCAAAGAAAGGAGAGTTTTTACTCTGTTATCCCTTAAGGATATTGGTATTTGTGTTTTAAGAGACATGAGCTTATGTAGCTTTAGCAGAATGCTATCATGTATTCTGAATATGTAATTTTGATTAATCTTTTAAAATTCTTTATATTTTAATAGAAATGTGTTCATGTGCACATTCAATTTTAACTTAACAGTTTGTGGATTAAGCATTTTCAAACTTAAGTGTCTTTTGGAAGCTCTAAATTATGTTAATGATTTGCCCAAAGAATGAGGGAGCTAAACACTCATCTAGGTCTACTACTCATGCTGTTTTAAGTGCAAGAAGCAAAGGTGAAAATAGACTTTATACAAAACCTAAAATACTTAAGAAAATGTCAAAGTAGCAAATTACAATGTATACATTTTGATCTTCTAGATTTTTTTTCTTAAAATTCTAAATATTCTGCCCTGCGTAATCAAACACTGTACCCCCCCACATAGTTCACTGTATAACCAGTTCTTTGGAGGGGTGGTTTTCGCTCAAGCCCCTAAAATTTTTAGGGAAGGTGTACTGCCAGCTAAGCGAGTGGTTTTAATAAAAACAAACCTGCCTTGTTTCGTCTTGTTCTTGCTCTATACCTGCCCTATTCTCTTTGAGGCACTAAGGTCTAATGATGTGATCGTATGATTGGAAAGCAGGAACCAACTGTGGTTCTTATCACTGATTTACCCTGTAACCATAACGAAGTCACGTCACTTCTGTGCCTCAGTTCTTTGTACAAATAGGAATAATATATGCCTACCTTATTTAGATTTGTGAGGAGTGGTTTGTAAAAATGACTTTTTTTTTTTCCTGGATATACCTTCAGCCTTACCTTTGGAAAGGGTTATTATCCCTCCCCCTTCAAAAAAGGTGATTTTGTTGTGGAAGTAGCACTTTTTAGTGAAGATGTATTTTGCCTGTGGAAGTAAATCATGGCACTGTTTAATTCTAGGGATGTATTATTTTGCATGCTTTAGAGGCTTAAAAAACATATTTTAAAGTTAAAGCAAGCAGTGACTAAGAGGGCAAAGTGCTGGCGAGAAGGAAATTGTATCTGCCTTTCTTAATTAAAAGTGCTTCAGGTTTGGCGAGTGATGTTGACACGAAGTGTGATGGGGCTGTGGTGGGGCAAACCCACAGAGCAGTGCCCAGAAGGGTGCTGTGCACGTGTGGCTTATATTGGGTTTTTTTATGTTGTCCATCACACTTACTGATTTGTGACTGGCTGATCCGCTTGTCTTGAGGGGACTGAAATCTCTGAATGTGTAGATAAGTGATATCTATCTATTTTGAGTGCTGTGCATTTGAGTGGAACACACAGGGTAGAGAAATCACAAGATTATTTTGGAAAGTGCTCCGGTTTTAACCCGGAGCACTTCTGGTGACTCTGTTATAAGACGTGGGTTATTGAGGAGCTGTAAAATAAAGTACTTTTTCAAGCTTTCTGGAGCCCATTTTTGAGAGAAAAGAACCTCATCGGATGTATAATTTTGGGGAGAGGGAGTGGGGTAATTCTCCCATCTGGCCCGGGGTGAGTTTAACAGGTGGCGATTTATAACCTTTCTTGCATGTTGCTGAATAAAATTTACCCAGCGTTTTATAGTTCTGTTTGCGTCGCAGCGAAATGAAACGAGAGAACCGCCCGGCGACGCGGACTTCGCCCCGTCCGAGACGTTGCCGCCGCGCGTCCCTCAGCCCAGCGCGCCTCCGGCGCTGACGGGGCCACCGCCCCCCGGGCTAAAAG